AAATTTATAAATATACAATTATTTTTTTAAAAAATTCAAAGACAAATCTATTGAATGTAATGGAGGCCTGCAGTTGGTAGTAGGTTACATGAAACAGTTTTCTGTCACTTGTCTAAGTCACAGCTCTTTCTTTACAAATATCTAGGAAGTCATAGCAAATCTTTCTGAATATTTCTTCTTTGCCCTCTAGGAGTCATTGTGTAAGAAGATGCTGTGGAGTGGTTGATAACTCACCAAAATAACATTAACAGCTCTTACAGGGTATGCAAAAAGCAGTAAAGAATACACTTTAAACTAGAGATCGTCACAGAGGACAACTACCTTTAATGGTCTTTTGTCTGACTGGCTTAAAAGAACACCCTAATTGTCCTACAGGCGAATCCAGGAACGAGATAAGCAGCGGCTTGATCGAGTGCAACCAGAAGAAGAAATTCAGTGGCCAAAAAAAAATCAGGAAGATGAAAAGCAAAAAAGGGAAGAAATAACTAAGAAAAAGGAAAGTGAGGATAAGGGGAAACAGGAAATGCAAGAGAAACTGAGTAAGCTTTTCCAGCCAAATCAAGAGCAAATCAAGCCAGCTGTCCAGGCTCCTTGGTCAAATGCAGGTAGAGTGAAAAATCAAGAAGTACTGTTGCATATGCCTTTTGAACAATTATTTTCTGTTTTGCCTTCCCATTTGATACAGAAGAATATTGTTTCAAGATTGGATTGGGAGTCTTCTTAAAGTAAATCAGTTATGGTTTGAGCTTTAGGCTCCAAAAAGTTCTTTTAGGCTTCACAATTCTCCCCAAAAGTATGGTGTTTAGCAGAGTGTAAAGCACAGCTGATGAGACTCACAGTGCCAACTAAAGAGAGAATCTTAGCTGTAAGTTGCTGGAAGATCTTGATGCAAGATGTCAAAAATGGTGTCTGCACTTTTGTTAACGTTCTTGGAATTAGATGCCTTGGGATTTTTTAGGATAAGGGCAATATGTCATTTAGTTGTCCTTTTTCCTCTTCCCCCTTCCACATGCATGTGGTCTACTGAACAAATGACCTGAAGTCTAAGATTTAATCCCCTTTTTTTTCACTCCTACACACATGCTCACTTTCAGCTGAGAGCTTTTTCTCTGCATTATAACCTTGGTTTTGCCTATATTGGGAATCATGGTTCCCCCTTAAGTAGCTTGGATACATATGGAAGAAAACTGATTTGGAATGTAATATTTGTTTAAATATTTGATTAAAGGTTTGCATAAAGGGAAAATTATCTTCTTTTAGCCCAAATCTAGAACTGACTTAATGTAATATGTCCTCTTGCTAGGTTCTGTTTGTGCAGAGCATGCTTTTGTGACTAAACGGGCAAAATAAGAAGTGCTCTATACACGAGCAGTTTTTCTGTGGTCTTTTTCTAATAATGCATCTTTAGTATGTAAATTCTAAAAACATGATTTGTAAGTGATCTGTTTTCAGCCAATGTAAATGTACTAGGACATTTTGAAACATCTTTCTTAGAAGTATAGTCAGGCAGCAAATGAAGCTGCTCTGCCAGCAGGCTCTAAAAGTATTTGGGATACAGTTGATACATGCAAGAACATCACAGTTTGAGTTGAACTTAAAGCTGATCAGATTTAGCCTACAAAATCATTGAAGCAGTTGAGAAGTCAAGCATGTTACATCATAAGTACATAATTCTTTCTATGAAAATAGCTGTATATATCATAAAAGTTAAAATATAGTAATATTTTATGTGATGTTTAGAAAGCAGTAAGAAAATTGTACTTTAAAGAATGCATTTCCCTATTTCCCTTTGTGTAAAAGGGGGATAATACCCTTCCTACAGTGTAAGGTTTGTTAATTTTTGTCTCCAATTTCATCTCATTTTTCAAATATTTAAAAACAATATGTTTTGATTTCTCCTTCCCTCCCCCTTTGTATCCGTGTGTTTTTTTCCTTTGCTCAGAAAAAGCTCCTGTAACCATTTCTGCTCAGGAGGATGTAAAAATAGTGTATTACAGAGCACTGTATCCTTTTGAATCAAGAAGCCATGATGAAATCACTATTCAGCCTGGCGACATAGTCATGGTAAGAAGGGATTGTGATATTAATTGAAAAATTTACTTAAGCTTTTGTACTTGGCAAGGTTTTTTTCCAGGCTTGAATAAAATATTTCAGTAAATACTGAAATGATGTGATATGACATAGTAACCCTATTATAATAATGGATAACTTCTAACAGTTCTTTTTAAGTGTAAAGTTAAACATAATCTGGGAGTAGATTTTATTATCAGTTTTAGTATGCTGAGCTGAGTGTGTCTGTCTATGTGTTTAAAAAAAGTTCTTCTCCAAAAGTTATCTCAGTGAGAGGTTCCTTGTCCTCCAGGGTACCCAGGGAATAAAGTTACTGTTACTTTCTGTTGAAAGTGGCTATTATGTGTGGAATCAAAACTGGCTTTGATAAATAAAGTATGTTTCTAATAAGAAATTTACCTTTTCATAAGAATAGTACAAGAGACTGCTCTTTTAAAATTTTGAATGTGGAGAATTGCCTTTATTGTGATGTCCGGTGTAACAATTATGAAATTATCAAATATGAAACAATTACACTAAAATACAAGGTGGCTACACTTCTGTGATGATCTCATAGACATTAACATAGTCTTTGCCTGGTGGTGATACTTCTTCAGTATTACTGGAAATTTTTTATACAATTGTTTTGATGACAGTTTTTTACATAATCTAATATACTTGTGACTTGGAATTGTCTTTGTGATCATTTACTCTGTGGATTTTTTTAGCTACTTAGCTCTTTTGTAAGATACTGCTACATTTATTTTAAAGCAGATATACAATAGATAAAATGTTATTTCTAAAAATGGGAACTCCAAAACCTAAAAATTTGGTGACAGGTGTGTTGACACAGAATAATTTCCTTTCTTTTTTTAAGTAGATGGTGAAATATGATGATACGGTCAGCCTATAACTGTCAAGTTAACACTAAAACAATATTCTGCTTTTGTCTCTATCTCTAAAATTGTTGTTAATGACTGCAGTTATTAAATGTGTATATTAATACTAATAAATTACTAGTATGGTCCTAACATTGATATGTTCACAAAAATTCCTAGTGTAGCCACCAAATGTTACCTTGTTCACTGTGGGAAAGTATATTCATTATAGTGTTCTACCTAACAAAATAAATTTTAAGAGCTATTAAGTTTTGGCACAGTTTAGTAAGAATGTAATTTGGAAAAAATACATTTTGTAGACTCTCATAAGTTGTAATGATAGTTTTTTAGAAAGCATGTATTCTGGGGAGTCCTTCATCCCTCAGCTTTATGTTTTTGTTTTGTGGGGTGGTTTGGCTTTGGGTTTTGGGTTTTTTAAATTGATTCAGCAGTGTCACACTGAAGCGTTTGTGACATTGGAAACTGCTGTTGGAAAATAAAAGGCGAATTCTGGATTAGTAGCACTACTGGCTGACTCATGAAAAGACCCAATGCCATTCTGAATAACAATGCAATGTGGTGTTATTCTGCATCAAGAGATAGCATTTGTCAGTCAGCTGTTAAATGAGAGAGGATACAGGTACATGGATCTTCTCAGACTATTGAAAAATGCCGTGCTGCCTTGCTTTCTTGGGAAATAGATTGTAGCCTAGGCATATAACTAAACTTTTTGCCTTGAGGGAGAGCAAACATTATTAGGTAGACTTGCAGGAAAATAACATTTTTTGCCAAAAATATCTGATTTTAAGGATCACTTCACGTGTTTTCAATAGAGACTTTGAGGTAATCTGAGTCTTTCTCTATGTTACTTTTGGACTTACTTTACCTTACTCTTCAAAATTAGGGTAACTACTCTCAATTTTCTTTATTTAACTTACTTTTGACAATAATTAAACCTGATGACTGCTTCTTGTGGGATTTATCTCCCTCTCTGTAGCAATTGCTTAAATGGGCTACTCTTAGAAAAGTTAATTAAGTTAAGACACTTCTATGAAATGTGTTATAATTGTGCCTTGCTTTAAATCATTGCTTTCCTAATGGAGGTTAAAAGGGAATGGGTAAGTGTACTGTATGACTGTTAGGAAGTCTATGCAATTTATTCATTTTCATAAACACAAATTTTGTTACCATGTAATTTACTTGTTTTTTAATTCACCTAGGGTAAAATTAACAAACTAGCTAACATTGTCAAAAGTAATTTAAGTGTAATGGATCAGAACTTACTTTTGATAATGGACATTTGGACTCCTAAGACTCTTCTGTGTCCTTAAGTGTTTGTCATGTCCTGTGGTTCTAAAAGATAAGTCAGGTTAAATTTTTTGGAAAGTAATAATTTACAAGCTTACATGTTAAAGTGTGTCTTCATTTATGACATAAATGCAACTCTGTGGTTAAGCTGATCTATACAGTTAGGAGTTTACTCTGTGCAACAAAATAAGTATTGCTTAGAATAACTGTGTTGTAACACAGAGCACTCCACCGTTTTAACACTTACAAATGGCTTTGTGTGTGCAGGCTTGTGCAGTCGTGTCCTGTAATCACATAGCTATACGTAAGATACCACCCAAAATGTAACCCCCCTGAGCAAAGAACCCAGCTGGAGCCCAAATCCATGTGCGGCATGCATGGGAACCAGGCCTAGATCCTGATGTAAATAGGACTGCAGAATTCATTATGTTGGGATGACTTGTGGCTTTAATAGAAGTAGAGCTTGCAAATAGTTTTTAAGACAGTGTGCATGAATCTTGAGACCTGTCTTGGTGGACGTGAGGGTGAAGGCTGAGGCTTTATTCTGAAAGGAAAGGTATTTGCAAATTTGAGGAGCGCCTTCTTGTCTGACTTTGCAGTACATTTTAGTTATCTGTAGCACTGACGTGTCTTGTATAATGTTTTGAGGAATGTGTGGGGCATGGTATCTATTTTTTTTTTTTATTTTTCCACTTTTTAATTATATGATTTTTCTCTCTTCTCTTAACTTGGGTTTCTGCTTTCTCTGCTTCTTACCTTTCTGTGTACTTAAAACTTCTATTACTGGAAGCTAAATTGTTTTAGAATCCCAACTAGAACTTGACCAAGCTTTTCTCTGGGAACAGATATTCTGAGCCAAGAAAGCCATGCCTCCTCCATGTTTCTGTCTGTTCAAGAGATTAAGTTTCTATTATGTGTATGAATATATGTATGCAGCGTATGGAATTCTTCTTTGGATAGGTCTCTTATAATAAAAGTCCTACTGACAGTTACTGCTGTTAAGCTCCACCTTGAAGTACATGGATTCTGTTGTTGCTGATAGTATTTTATATTATATAGCTTATTTAAATTAACTTAAGCATATTTCAGTGAAATACAGGTTAATTACTGAATTCCTGTAGTGGCTCTGACAGCAGGAGAGCATAAGTTAAACAGGAAGTCCATAAAGAAGCTTCTATGGAAAGTCTAAAAGAAATTCATAATGGTAGTTTCTCATCCATTTTGTTAGTTATTGATTGTGAGAGTTAGAATGAATGTTCTCTGTGTTAGACACAGAGACAGCCTTGTTGTTTTAGATCCTGTGGAGGCATAATCGGCATATGGCCTCTGGCCTGCAGGGCCTATATTCAACATTATACCAGAAATTCCAGTAGTCTCATGGTCATTTAATTGGTGTATAGATGGAAAAAAATAGATGATGGTACTCTGTTTAGCTTTGATTGAATAATTATTGTGAGACTATTAGGAGTTGGCTTCCTTTGTAGAGTGAATATCTTCCATAAAACAGGACTTCTGTTTTTGTGTGCATGCGACACTGGTGATAGACAAGCCAGGTTGAAGTGGAGTAGGCCACTGCAAAGCCCTTTCGTTGGCAGATACTAACTGGACCTACTGCTTATGCTGCTAAGAGTTGTATTGCTGTTACTCCTGACACGTGTGTTCAGTTGCTGGAACTAAGTAGTTTTAAGCTGTGGCTCTGCAGGATGGTTGAATAAATAGAAAATAACTCACTATGTTTTGCTGTTCATTTGTACACTGAAAGTCCAGTTGTATTTTGGAAAAAAATGATCTGGGATACTTTGTCGTAGGGTCTTGGGAATGGTGGATGTAAAAATATAAGGAAACTAGGAAAAAAAAATTAAAAAGGTTTAAAAGAATTTACTTCAAGTTCCAATACTGTATTACAAAAACAGTTGCACATAATATTTTATATGAATAACTGAGAAACCAGACTTTTTATGAATTATACAGTTAAAATTATCCTTCAAAGTGCCTTTTCAGGGGTATATATAGAAAACTTGATTGGATTGAATAAGAATGAATTTGACTTTCCTAACTGGCTGTTTTATAAATTATTTTATCTTAAAACTGTCTTCTAAAGAGACATTAAGTCAGTTGTTTTTAAAAACTTTGGTAGGGTTTTTTTTTTTCTCTGATTGTAGAAAACATTTCTTTCTGAAAAATCACAGTGGTTTCTAGATGACTGATTCATTTCAACAATGCCCTTTTTAGAACATCACCATAAACAGAATTTTTTACTTTTCAGTTCTGGTTCTTGTGTATGTTAGTAATTCTAGTTACTATCTGACCAATTGATTGAGAGTAGAGACTGTGCAACTGTTACTACTGTTTAGATTATTCAACTTGGCATCAGGTGCTGATAATCCATTTCTCCCTCTTTCTCCCAAGATTCACCCTCTGCTGTGACCTTCCATCACTCATGCTGCTGATTTAACAGTCCTATTCAGTGCTGCAGTGGAAATTTTGCTCAGGCCTGCAGTAAAACCACATTGAACCAGTCAAGCATGTAGTTTGCTTGTTTCTGGGTTTGCTTTGAGTTAATAGGGACTGGGACAGAAGATGGACCCAAAAAAAAGCAGCAACAATGGATTGTTTTGCACCAAAAGAAGGGTGTGGGGTACAAATTACAATGGAAGGCAGTTGAAGAGTCAACAACTGACTGAAGGCTCAAATGAGTAGTCCAGGGACAATCAAAGGCAGAAGCTTTGCTGGTTAGGTTTCAGTCACTTCTAGGCAAAAGAATGGTCCTGCCTTTTGTTGAGAGCAATTAGTTTGCACCATTGCCACAAATAATTGGTTTTGCCACTAATTTTTTTTTTTCTTCAAACAAGCAGGGTTATATGTTTTTAAAATTGATAAAGCAAATTCATAGGTCTTTCCTAGCTCAAGACGCTACTACATCCTATTTTCATATAATGTCATGTACTGAAAATGGCTGAAAAGGATGCCATTTCTTACGTGTTAGCTTATGAAGCATTCTGTTATCAAGAAACCCCTCACACTGATAACAGGTTTTTAGGAAATAGTGTCAGGTGATTTAGAAGTACCAGTTTAAGTATCTTTGAATGCTGTACTGCTCCATGCCCCAGTCAAATTTTGCGTTACACTGTCGTTTGATGTTTGATTTATTTTGAAATACTGATTACTACTGGCCTAAAGAGGTGGGAGAAATTCTTACCAAAAATCAACCGCTGTGTAGAGTTGGTCATCCAACTTCTCATTACCAGTCTGGATTTAGTGCTGGCTTGACCATTGCTGGGGAATGTGCAGCTACCAGGGCAGATTGTTGGACAAAGCAGATGTCATTTACATGTCAAAGGTGCAAACCCTATTCATCTGTAAGGGTTTGCTTGGAAACAGATTCTTTTGATCTGTCGAAGAGGTTAGCTAGCTAGAAGACCCAATCTACTAAAATTATTACCAAATACAGTTATTGCCTTTTGTCTTCTAAAAAGTTTCTGCAATTCACGTTGCCTTGGAGGTACTTAGCCACTGTATCAATTCGCCATGGGTAGCAATAGTGAATTACTTCTGTGATTCTTGCTGAATGTGGTTAGGTTGTTGAAATAGCAGACTAAGGCTATTAACTATATTAAGACTAAGTGGTCTTTCAGTAGAGCCTGGAGAAGAAATGTGCAAAATATTTAAGAAAATTTAGCAGGAAAGCATGAAATTTGCAAAATCGTAGCATAACGTGATTATAGTAATCAAGAAGTAAGAATTAAAATACAGCTGCAAAAGTAGCAGCTTTATGGCTTGACAAAGATGGCATAGTGAGGAGAAAGAACAGAGATTTGCAAATTTACATATGAAAACTCAACATAGCATTGTTTTGTATAAATACATTAGCAAATCTGTGTATTTGTTTTGAATTGTTTGATGAGTGTTGTTTTTAATATGCTGTGTTTTCCTGTTGTATTTTCTGCAAGAGAATCTAGGAAAACTTGTTAAGAAAATTGCATTTTGTGTTAGTTAAACAAGAAATATCAATATTTAAGGGATTTCTCTAGAACTTGCTTCTACCATATCTGGTGTACTATGACAAATTTTCAAACAACGACTTAAAAACCCATGCTTATGCATTAGGACTGAAATAAAACTTTTACCTCGTTACCAAGAAATGCTTTTGCTTTTGGCTTGCTGGAAGAAAAAAATAATTGCAAGTTCCCTTATCTATTAATAAGCTATAGAAGGTATAGCTGTCAAAATAGTCCTCTAAAGGTAGATTAAATAACAGTATCAAGATTCTAGGTAGAACTTGTATTTCTAATGAAGATGTCACGTCTCTGTAACTAGAGAATGTTAATTACTGTGAATGAGATGGATTGTTTCAAGTAAAAATTCCATTTGTATGTTATGTTTCTTAACTTTCTAACTTACTGCATCTGCAGGTGGATGAAAGCCAGACTGGAGAACCAGGGTGGCTTGGTGGAGAACTGAAAGGGAAAACTGGATGGTTCCCTGCAAACTATGCAGAAAAAATACCTGAGAATGAAGTTCCAGCTTCTGTAAAGCCAGCAGCTGAGACACCCGCTGCACCTAAAGTTTCTGTGCATGAAACCACTACAACACTAGGAACTCCTGCTTCTACAGAATGTACTACGACTGCTAATAACTGGGCAGACTTCAGTTCAACGTATGTTTGAGTAGTGTTTGTCACCTTAAAGGTGGTGGAGTTCTTTTTAATCAATTTGACTTTGGTGGCAGGTAACACAGAGCAGGAAGAGTGCAAAACCAAAATAGCTTGTTTGAAGTAAATTTTTTTTCCATAGTAAATAGTTAAAATTGCAGCCTTGTGGAACTTTAACTGTGCCCCCATCATATCTACCTGAGCAATGTGGAAGGACACATCACAGACAGGAGGTGTTCCTAAGTGAGGGTGGTGATGTGGTAGAAATGCCAAGGGGTTCACCTTCCTTCTCGTAAATTAGTTACCAATCCTCACTGAAGCTTTCCAGCTTGGATTATGAAAAATATGATAATGACAGAGTTAACATGAAAAGATGATTTATTAATACCTTATCACAACGTTAACAAGACTGATTCAAGTAGAACATGTGCCCTTCCCTAGATGTCTTGTTAACTCAATGCTCTGTACATTATTATCAACCCTATGTAAATGGAGCTGGATAAGTAATTGTGATATCTTTTGATCAAGTAATACGTATTTATAAATTAAAATCTAAATATCTTAGTGTAATATTATAGTATATAACATGTTCTGTTTCAAAATCTTCGTCAAATAGGTCAGTGGCTTTTCCAGTTATTTAAACATTTTCTGGTTTACTACAGTAATTTTTCTGAGGGGGGAGGTAAGACTAAGTCTTGAGCTTCCTGGGGATGTCTGACACATACTGGATTTTATTGTTTTGAAGAAGTAATACCTTTGACAAAGCTGTTTGTTCTGCCCTAGGTGGATAATGCATGCTTTTCATAAAATTAATAGTTTCAATACAGAGTGAGACCCAGAGCATTTCTGCTACTAATACTGTCCTTGACATGATATAGTGGTTAGAGTTGATTTTGTAGGCTTTTTAAGGGACAAGAGATAGCATAAAAAGAGTAAGAGGCTGCATAAAACTTGTTTGAAGAAGTCAGTAGGAAATAATTTTAAGTAGAAAGAAAAAAGGTAAGGTTTTAAATGAGAAGCAGCAAAATGATGTATAAAAGAGAGGACTGTGAGAGGTCAGTGTTGTGCAGGTGTGAAGATTCCAAACCAGTTTTGAAGAGAATGATGATTTACTCTTTTAGCCCGTTTGATTGCACTACTTCCACCTGAGAGTTATGATGTTCATGGAATATTCCATTAAAAGAAAATAACCTAGAATGTAGATATTTTTTTCTGCACAGTCTTGCTGACTGACTGTTTTTATTCAGTTGAAAATGGTGGGAATTATGTCACCCTCTGTTTTTCAGATGGCCAACAAACACTAGTGAGAAACCAGAGACTGATAACTGGGATGCCTGGGCAGCTCAACCATCTTTGACTGTTCCCAGTGCAGGGCAGCTACGGCAGCGATCGGCTTTCACTCCGGCCACTGTTACAGGGTCATCTCCCTCTCCTGTCTTGGGTCAGGTGAGCACCTATATTCATTAAAACTGTTCTGACCCAGCACAAACGTTTGGAAAGCAAAGTATGAACATTGACCATGCGTTAAAACAATCCCCTGAGGTAGGTAAGCTATTCCAGTTTAGAATGATGAACAGGTAGCCTACATCTGTTTGCAAAATCCGTGGCAGAATTTAATGTGAGGTGGTTTTTGGTCTGCCATTCAGTGCTGGCTTTACTAGACTTCCACGGGTCTGTCTTAATGCTTTGGCAGGATGCCAGTTTTGGGTCACTTCCTTGAGGCTTTCCTGAATCACATGATGACAACCTTCACTCCAAAGTGGATTACGTAGTTAAGTGGAACAGCAATGATAAAGCTTCACATCAGATGAATTCCATCCATCTGTTAAGGCATTTCCTTTTCCTCAACTGAACAACATACTGTTCTTGTAAGCCAATACGTTCTGAAAAATACTAAATATCTTAATATCTTAGAGGAAAACAAAAGTTGGAACGTACTATGAATAACTTGTAGCAAAGTGTCACTTTCCATAAAGTTTACTTTAACTCCTGCCAAAATAGCTTCTTGAAGGTTTATTACATATGTATCTTCAATGTAAAACTGTACTTAACTCATTGAGTAAAACCATGGATAATCTTGCATTGTACTGATTATGTGTCATCAAATAGAAATGTTTCTGGTGTTGCTCTGTAAGTTTAATTGACTTATTTTCCTTTGTACAGTTGAGGGACAACCTGTGTATTTTGTTGCCATATAATTAGCATATGAATATAATTCCTTAAGCAGCTTTCTTTGGTGGTACATGACCAACTTTTCTCTCTCTCTCTCTCTCTCTTTTTCTGTTTTTTTAATAATTGCATTAGGGTGAAAAAGTGGAGGGGCTTCAAGCACAGGCTTTGTATCCTTGGAGAGCAAAAAAAGACAACCATCTTAACTTCAACAAAAATGATGTCATCACAGTTTTGGAACAACAAGATATGTGGTGGTTTGGAGAGGTTCAAGGACAAAAGGGGTGGTTTCCTAAATCATATGTGAAGCTTATTTCAGGCCCCATTAGGAAGTCAACAAGGTATTTTATTTGCTTTTACTGTACTTTACTTCTATAGTGTAATAGTTAAATAAATACAAAGAGTTGCACACTTTAATTTTAAAGTTTAGAATCTACACTGTAAAAATTGTTTATGTATGTCTCTCTTCTGCTGGGGTTTGACTTCCAGCCTTGGAAATTAGCGTGAGGAATAAGAAAACTGGCCTCAGTTCTCTTTGGGTCATGCATCATCAACAAAAGATCTAAAGCTTAATGAACAGTCTTAATTTTATATAGTTTGCCAGTAAAAATACCACTGTATTGGATTTTATGAATTACAGCTATGTAAGTCGTAGCTTATCTTTCCCAAAAATTAAAATATTATACCTCAAAACTTAATCACTTATCATTACTCTTGGAGCATGAAAGAATCTGGCTCTGTGTAATGTGAAGGCAACATTAACATTACTAATACAAATCAGAATGATCTTAGATTTATTTTTTCTTTTAATGAGGGAGAAGAGGAGGTGCAGAAACTTGTATATTTAAGGCAGTTACCTAAATGTAACAATGACTGGCTATTGTACTTAAAAGCTTTAATTTGCACATTTGCTGTCTCTTCTTTTAAAATGTAGGGAATTGCTTATGGGTATATATTAAATTTTTAGTTTTTGAAATATAATAACAATTCTTCTGAAGAGTTTTAATTTCTTAAAAAAATGTTATTTTCTTCTAAAGCATGGATTCTGGTTCCTCAGAAAGTCCTGCTAGTCTGAAAAGAGTAGCATCACCAGCAACAAAAGCAACTATGTCAGGTGAAGGTAAGCATTTCAAACCACATGGAATTAATAGTATTTTACTATGTAATTAAATAGATTAAGTCTGCTTATTGGCAGAAACAAGCTTACAATCAGATCTTACTCTTTTAAGACTGGCCCTGTTAAAATTGAAATGCCAATCAATTTGCCTCTAAAATGCTTTAAAATTATTATAGTAAGAATTTATATATGTTATGTATATAGAAAAAATAATTTCACGTGCCATTAAAATGCCTTCTGTAGTTTGTACTGTTTCTTGTATGAATATTTTGGTGGTAATTCCCGATCTGGAATGGATTTTTGCAGCGGGCCAAATAAAGCACATCTGTACATGTACTTCATGGTATCAGGAATTATTAATAAATGTCTCAATTTCACCCAAAGTTAATTTCCAGTGTTTCATTAAAGCTCTTAGTTAAAGAAATTACAATCTGTTATAGAATGCGATCCTTATGGTCAAGCCTACCCCTCATTTTTAAAGTTGGAGCCTGAGGTGCAGCCAGATAATTGTCAAGCCTTTGAAGAGTTTTAGAAGATTTGCATTCCTGGCTGTTACCACCCTTCAGCCAGAGGTTAATGTCACCACACAGGCTTTGTTAACAGACTGTGGGAGCATTCTTAATCCACTTCAGTGCAGAGTCATCTAGGTTAATTTAAATCACAGTCAGAGTAAATCAGTTAATCTAAATATAGGTTACCAATGAACATTTGCATGTAATCTCTACAGCACACCAGGTTTAACTACAATTCCACATACAGTTTTAAGTGAGTCTCTTTGATTACCAATGTATTTAACTGGTCACTGGCATGAACACTGCAGAGATTTAGCATCTTTTATAAACTGTAAGAAAAATATCCGTATGTATAGCATACATTAAGATATTTAATGTGTGTGTTCATGTGTATGTGCATACAAATGTGTGTGTTCTTCAGCAGCAGTTGTTAGACAAACCATGTCTTAGCTTTCATTAAGGATAGTAATTGTGGTTTGAGTTCTTGCTGAATTTCCCTGAGCTAAACTTTTTGGTCAGATTTAGTGTTCAAGAGAATAGAGCAGTCACCAGCTGAAATGGAATACTTGAATTATTTTGTTACATATGCATGAAAGTCTTCCTGAATTATTATGAACTGCTCCTAGATCCAGAGCTGGTCCTAGAAGCAGAGGATATAATCATCAGAAATCTGTTTTATGCCCATGTAAAGTCTAATAATGCTCAGTTAAATAACACGGTTATCAAATTGTATAGAAAATGTTACTGAATTGTCTGAGACTCTTCTTTGTAAGCATTTATGTCAAAGTTTTTCATGTAGTTCTGTGATTGAATTATGAATTGCACTTCTCAACATCAGTCTACTTGAGTGGTTTTGCACTTGAATACTAAGGAGTTGGATGTGTTCTAACAACACAGAACACATTCAGGCTTTGTTTTAACATTTCCCAGCCATCTGTTGCGTAAAATGCAACGAGATGTGGGCCCTTTATGCAAAGCTTCAAGTAATGAAAGAATTCATTGTACATGAGAGCCAAAGAGCATATGTAAAATGAAGAAAATTAAGACTATCTTCACACATTTAGATACTGAGACTTTGTACTCCCAAGACTAAAAATTCCAGTTATCAGCACAACGGAGAAACCACTGGGAAACACATTTTCAGAGTAGTTTATGATATAAGTTAATAATGTGTATAAATTGTAATTATAGTAGCAGATTATTTTTAAAAAAAAAAGCCTCAGAAGAAGCCTTTTGATGATGAATTGTATTTAGTTCTGATATATATAATTTTATGCATTAAATTTTGAGGTTTCTATGAATAATAATTAATAAATTTGTCTTCTGTCTAACCCATGGATAGACTACATTATAGAAGTTAGTTTTTTGCAAATTATAATTGAGCAGTTTGTCAAGTGTTTTCCCGTGTTCTGAATTTATTTCCCTCTTGCAGAGTACATTGCTATGTATACTTATGAGAGTTCTGAACAAGGAGACCTAACTTTTCAACAAGGTGATATGATTCTTGTGACAAAGAAAGATGGCGACTGGTGGACAGGAACACTGGGTGATAAATCAGGAGTTTTCCCATCTAATTATGTGAGACTCAAAGATTCCGAGGTAGAGACCTATTGAAATGTTATGAAATTGAGCTGGGGGAGGTATGTTTTATTTGGTATTATAGTGATCGTTACAAGCCAGTGAATCATAAGGGAAGAAAAAGTATTTAGCAGTTTTACTGAATGTGAGATTGAAAAGGGAAAACAATAATAGTTGCATTTTACAACAGTATATCATACATAAATTTGTGGATCGTATTTTAAAGTGAATCTTGTATATGTTAATAGTTAGCTTGGCAGTTTTGTAGAGACAAATCAGAATAGCTATGACTACTTTCTTACCCAGATAAGTATTTAATGACTGAGTTGTGTCTTAATGCCATTATTAAAAAAAATAAAATATGTAGAGAGTAATATTTCAGTCTGTTATCTTTTTTTTTCTCCCTATAATTTTCTTGCAATCAAGGGCAACAAATTTTGCAACAAAACTTAACTAAATACTATACTTATTTGAAAGTTCTTTACTGAACTCTGTTTCACCGATTTTTGTCCTGGAATAATCCAATAATCTTGTTTAGGTCTCTAAGAATAATAGGGTTTTTTAAGTAGGTGAGTAAGTAAAAAATTATTGTATTTTTAGAAATCTAGGTGGAAAGGCTTTTTTCACAACTCTTGAATTCTGTGTGTACATGACAAAACTCAGTGAAAGACTGTGTGTGTGATATAGAGCTTGAGCAAAGTCACACCTTAAAATAATTTTGGTTTGTGGAAAAGCCAAAGCATAAAGCCTGCAGTGAAATATACAGTTGTAGAAAACCTTTGTATAATAAATTTCTAGACGTAGAAATTTCTAGGTAGAGAAATTTCAATAACATCCTGACAACAGAACTCAGAGTCCGGACAAGAAATTCTGAAATCTCTCTCCCCAAGTTTAGCAGCTTGAGTCTCCTCTCAGTGGTGCAACATCTCCTCAGTTGTGGCAGCAGAGGTGTTTGTGAGTTTATATCAGGGAATTTACCTGGTTATGCAAAGCACTTCTCTTTGCAGTCCATGATGTGCTTCCTAGTTCAGCCCTGCCAGTAATTCTTCACATGCATAGAAAAATGGTGGCTTGTCCCTTGAGATAGATTAAGTGTAGAGATATCTGCCTAGACTATGGAGTGTCTTGTGATAGTGAAACCATACCCTAATCTCTTCACATTACCCGTAAATTCATGCTGTAGTTGATGAGTGGGGACTTGCACTGTCAGTCTCCTGCCAGTGAAGGAGGAGGCTGTGAGGCCTCGCAGGGAGGCCTGTTTCACAGGTAGGTAGTCCTAGTTGCTAATAGGTTACTTAACCTCAGCTACGTTCTTTTTAATTAATGTTAAGTTTCCTTTGAACTTTTGTGAAGGAATGGTTTTGGTTTTCCCTTAAAATATTCTCACCAGAGTTTAATCTCAGAACCTGGGAATTTATATTTGCATGTGCAGAGCTGCCTTTTGTCTGCATTTTGGACTCAGTGCTTGTCCCATCTGGTGAGAGACAGACACACATAGTGGCAAGTCTTCCTTGCTGAGAACTCAGAAATAGACATTTAATATTGAAAACTATTTTTATTGGAGAGGTCATTTTGATGTTTGTCTGATCTCCACTTGTCTGGGACTGAAACAGCTAAGTGCAGTTCATTAAAATGTGCTCCAACTGCCCTTTTTGCTGGTGAAAGTCACATCTTCCTACAAAATCTTGATGAGAGAGGGAGGAAAAAGCACAGTGGTCATGGAGATCTTGGTATCTGGGATGCTTATTTTCATAAAGTGATTCATACGCCCCGCAGGACATATTTCTTGTTCCAAGTGGATAATTGCCATTACACGTACAGTGTTTTGCTATTCAGCTTGTTCACAGAGCCAGTTTTTACAAGGATTTCACAATAGCAGCTGCCTGTTAACTTTCAGATGTGCCGCTGTGCTTGGACAGCTGGCTGATTGTGGAAAATGTTACTAAAAGAGTAAACTAATGTAATGTGTTCTGCTCTATTGACTTAGGCCTGAAGAAAAAGTAAGACAGTGCTGATCTTTCAACAGCAAGCACAGAGCTTGTAGAAACGGTTATAAACTTCAAAGTATCAATAGCTTATACATCACAAGAAATTATTTTTAATCTGTTCTTCTGTACCTAGTCTCAGACTACCCATTCACCTCAAGCTGCTAAATTAAACTATTTCCTGGTCCTTAAGTTTCAGCTTATTAACAGAGTGAAGTCTTTGTTCTTCACATAAACAGTGACACTGGTCCGTGGTCCATTCTCAAGAGTTTTCATTAGACTGAGGTAGATGGTTACAGATCTGTAACAAGTTTTTATTCTACCCTTTCTTGAGACTGGTGATAATTACCTCTGCATAAAGTATGAAGCTCATATGGTGGACTTAGAAACACAAAAAATTAGATGCCTCTAGTTCCGAAACTGCATAAATATTCTGAAAATAATGTCTGAATGTATTTAATCCAAGGGCCTTGCTGTACGACACACTTGGTGAGTCTACTGCTGTGTCAGATCGACAAAGCAAGTTCTGCTCGACTGTTTCAAGTGACTTTATTATCACTTGTCAGAAAGTATCCTCAAATGCAGCTAGTGTCTGAGTTGTGCAAGAAGCAAATAAAATGGAGTGTGTCCTCTCCACTGTATTTCTTTCAACAGAAGAATAAAAAATAATTCTCCATCTGCCGCCTGGGCCAGAAGTTGGGAAGCAGTCTTAAATGCATTATTTGTTAATTTAGTTATTTATTGATGTACTGGAGGACTTTTGTATGTGTTTCTTCTGCTTTCTTACCAAGTATTCCTCAAGCAGAATTCAGACTCATTCTGGTCAAAGTGTTTTTGAAGCTTCTCTCTTAAAATAATGTCTATATGTTTATCAGTTAACTGTAAAGATACGATGTCTCAGCCTGTTTTATCCATCCCTGTGCTCCTAATCTGGCAACATGGACACTAAGTGATATTTTGAAGAAGTGTGTTCTCTGAAGATCCAAACAGTTATTCTTTATTGAGGATGGGGGAGGGTGTTTTTCTGTCAAAAACACTTTTTGAAGCAGAATTAATTCCTGGTATTAGCATATCAGTGGCAATTGTCACCTTTACTTCCGCCCCTTTTAATCTGGCCTACTTGGGACTGTCAGTGGACTTGCAGTCACTGTCTGGACCATCATCTCCTTGTCTCCTGACCTAAACCCAGTCTTTGTATCTGATCTCTGTGTGATGCTTTCTTATTTCACTTTTTTTTTTGTTCCTATAGATCACAGTAGTTGTAGAGAAAGGGGGAGAACTGAAGAGAAAGGCAGAAATATAGAGAAGTGAAGATTTGCTGGCCTTGTAGAAAGTATCAGTAACTATAGTGACAAGAAAGTAGCAATCAGACAGCAATGTCCACATATCATTTAACTCCATATGCTTTCCACACTCCTTCCCAAAATTTAAGTTGCAAAATGTCAAGGAGAAATATGGTGTACCAGATGTATGTAAGATGCTTTGGAGCCAAATTAAATAAATAAATAGAAATTCTTCCCGTCCTCACTGTTACCTTCCAATACCAGTTACAGCTTGATAGGCAATGCCAACTTTACTGGGTTTTCTGCCATTATTAGATGGGTTTGGCTTGACTGATCCAGTGTTTTGAGGTGCTGTAGTTCAGTCTGGAAGATCAGGCTTCTCTGGTAGCTTTCCTGGAAGATGTTAAAAATATGCATGTCTTGGAGGAGTGTCAAGACAGATCTATCTAATCTATTTTACACAGGCAGTCAAAACCAAGACACATTTTTGAAATGGCCCTGTTCTCTCAGTCATTTAACTAGTCTTTTATTTACTCCTTACATTAGTTTCTGCCAGAATCCCCAAGTTTTCAATGCATCAAGTTAACATGGAGAATATTAAGGATTAAACTGTTCTTCCTCATAGAGGAATTAGGATTCTGTGAAAACCTTCAGATCACTTGATGTAGGCTCCAAGTTTGTAAGGAGGATCCTAAAGGAGAAGTTGAGGGGGTGAAAGTATTGTGAGCCTTGCTTGAAGGCAGGAGGCTGTTTACAGTTATTCACCATTTCTGACCAAAGTACAGTTTAGATACGTTTTGTTACTGGTGTCCATGTCAAACCTTTTTACTTCAGAAGATAGGACTGGCGATGTACTGGGAAGAAACTGGAGGGATTATTTAGGGGGCAAGGGGAAGCTGTCCTAGAGGGGGATGGTGACAGGAAGGGTTTGCAGTTGACTGAAGAAGGGAGGCATGCAAGGGGCAGAGTTGAGACCGCACACTGTTTTGAATATTTTAATTGCATGTATATCATTAGACCTGTGCATTTAAATAAATAACAGTAACACTTCCCAAATAACCAGTGTCATCAAAGGAAAAGGTGTTTGTTTTGTTTTGTTTTTTCAAGAATAGAAATCCGAGTTTGTGTATTATGAAAGCTTTTCATGTTAAATTACATCTTGCAATATCACTGTTTTCCTATACATAACTGAAGTGATTTCACTGCTTGCTGGATTTCTTATGCTTGTTCAAATGCACTTCTTGCAAATCTCTTGGCCTGGGTGATGATATTCATCCTTCATTTCACCCCATCTAGGTCTGAGAGTAAATAGCCACAAATAGATAGCACCTTTGTATTCAGTGTCCTGTGCTCTCACATGGGCACAGAAATGTTGGTGGGACCTTTATTACTGCAACACATCACATACAAAGTTCAGATGACTCGTCTTGAAGATGCAGTGACTACCCCAACTATGCTAATGTGCCATATGAGAAATTTGGGAACATAATATGAGCAATACTGAAATAATTATGTCCAGTTTGTTTTTTAGGCATGTTTGCAATCCAGCTGTTTGTAGAGTTGAAAACTACTGTTGTTGTTTTAAGTCAACATGACAGAATTCACCTTCTGTTAATGTGCAGATTTACAATTAAAATGCTATGTAATTTGGAATTCCATTCGTATTTGCAGTCCATGAACGAAAGAAAAGTTCAGGGAAGAAGTCTGCAAATTTATATAGTTACTTATCCACTTACTTATGATGTTTGATACTTATTCCTATATATTAGTTACCATCTAAAATATTAAAGGGTTTCTATAAGAATAGAATCTTCCTGTAAGAGTTTTTTTTTACTTACACGGTTGTTCAGTATGATAAAGTGAAGCATAGCAAGTCATTTTCATATACTGGAGAAATAAATATGAGTGCTACACTTACATCTTACTTTCTATTTCAAGGCTTCTGGAGCAGCTGGAAAAACAGGAAGTTTAGGGAAGAAACCTGGTGAGTCATATGTTGTGACAGCACCTTATATCTGTTCTTAAGTACTTAAGTTCCATGAGAACAAAACTTTTTTTCATAAAAAAAAATTATGTTTGCTCTTGGTTGTTTTCTAGTAATTTGCCCTGATCAATACTGTTGTCTATAATAAAATAATGAATAACCTGTCAATCATTCCATTTAGCATGTATCGATCACTAAATATCATGTAGCTAGAGAATAAAAATCTCCTTGGCTTAAAAATTAATGTTACCCTTCAAGACAGATTGCTGAACAGAACAATGGAAGCTTACAAAAAGCCCAAGTGTACCAGGGCTTCTGAAAATAGGAGTACACATTCTTCCCTGTGGTTTTACAGCATTTTGCCCAGAATGCTCCACAGTATGGTATACATACATAGGCTCTATGAGCTCTTGTGCCTGCTTCTCATTTCCGAGAGCACGTAACCTCATATCCATGCTGCGTAGCTTATTGCCTGCCAAGCCTGCTGGTATTGTAGAGGGTCATGTTGCAGGTTACTTTCTTGGCTAGAAGGAGGTCCCTTGGCTCTTGAGGTGGTGGGGGCTGTCCTTCCAAACAGCCATTGTGCTTCCAAAGACCATTAGAAAAGTGCTTTCTCTGCCATTGGCAGGCATTTGTAAACCTTCCAGAAGATACCTCTTTTAAAAATTGATTTATTTGTATTTATTTCCTTTTGTACCAAAAAGATCACTTTGTGTTGAGCTGAACTAAACTAAATAGGGGATGCTCCGTGCTTCTGTGCTGTCCTTTCCTCTGAGGCTTATTCAGTTGCATGGTGAGGTGGTTTAAGGTTGTCATCTGCCAAATCTTGCCTTAATTCCATACACATACACATACACATGCATATGCATGATTTGTTTTGTGGGGAAGAGGTTTTGCTGTCTCCTTGAACTGGTTCCCTGTGTAAGAGGAGCAGCCCCAACTTCATTTGGCTTATTTTACCTTGACAGAGGAGCAATGGGCTGCTCTTGTCAAACCCTACTGCTCCGTCTATGGAAAGAAGAGTTTGAAAGTAAACTACTCCTGCCTTTTCTAATGCCCACTTGCATGATTAAAAATAGTTATGTTAACAGATACGAAGCTCGAGAGAGGCAGACAAGAACAGAGATCTGGAAAACCTCTAGAAGTGATACTTGGTAGGAACAATGAGAAGATATTTATAGGGCTTGCTGTATTTTCCATCCATGGGAGGGTGGTGAATGGCAGGACTTCAGCTTAGAGTATCAGTCTTATAATTGCTGGTCTCCTGGTTTCAAACTTTCAGTGGAAACTTGGGGGGTTGTTGAGAAAAGCTGTGTTCAGAATCTTTCAGAGTTTAAGAACAGTTTGGGAACAGTCCTTCCTGTTTTTCAGCAAGGAGATTCATGGATGGTTTTGCAATAAATGAGCTGCGAGTGCTCAGCCAATATAAACGACATGCTAATGAACAAGATGAAATATTCCTGTTTATTCTAGAAGCAGCAGGAGAAGTGGGTGGGAGTTGGTAGCAGTGTGTTTTGGACGGCAAGGGAAAAGAAACTGCTCTCTGCAAATTTAAGCAGCAATATGAGGACAATTATATCTGTGAGAAGGATATTTTTTTATCCCCCTATATGTACCTGTTTTAGCAGAGGCCACATTTTTTGCCCTGGACTGTAACTGAATTAGATCTTTTCTTAGTAACTCAAAATTTAAGTCCTTCCTGGAAGGAAAGCTATTTCTGGGGCGGGGGGTTTTTTTGTTTGTTTCTTTTTTTGCCTTTTTAACTTTTTTTGCTGAGTTGTTTTCTCTAACTTGCTGTTTCTCTGTACACATGCCAGTGCTGAATGTTAAACTTGTAATTCATTTTGTGAGCTATTTAACACACAGGCCGCAGTAAAAGTTTTTTATGCTGCTGGTTGGTTAAAGAGGGTGTCTGATACTTGGAGCCTTGTATCACCTCATTGCAGATAAAAATGAGATGCAAGGTATAAGACTTTTTTCCTCTTTCAGTATGATATACTGAATATTATAATTGCCATGGTAATGAAGAGGTGTTTTGCCTGACTTAAAAAAAAATTAAAAGAAAAATAGAAATGTTGTCCAACTCCCCCAGTTAATTTGTTTGTTTGTTTTCATTTTGACTCCTGAATGCCTCTAGGGTGGAGGAATGAATGTGATTCTGTGGAAGAACCTGCAGATGCAGGGAGCTTGCAGACTCCCTAGCAGTACAGCCATGTTTGCTGTCAAATAGCTTGCTGGCTTTGCCTTCGTACAGGGCAGATGCTGCTGCTGCCGCCTTTTCTCTGTGTAAACCTTTCTGCTCACCTGTCATCACCTCCTGTATTTCATTTAGAAATTCCTTCTTCTGTCATCTGCTTTCACATTTTGTGTGCTGCCTAGTTCCAAATCCGGGTTTAAAGCATCTTTCTGCCTATCAGCTGCTGGCTTTTTCATCACCTCTTTGGTTCCCGCTCTGTGCGCCTGCCTCTCCCTTCTTTGGGTTACCGTGAGGGAGGTTCTGCTGTAGTTAATTCTGCGTGTGTCATCGTTCGCTGTGACCTCAGGCTGCTTCTCATATCTCTGCTTCTTCATCCTCCTTATGTTATCCACTTATAACTTGAGTGCTTCTCTGACCACTTTTAATTCCCCTAATCATGCTTTTTTTCTGAATGTTAAGTAAACCATCTGATTGTTTTCCTGGCGGTCTTCAAATCGCCTTGTGCTTTCTTTCCTGCAACAAAACCTCCCTCTGTTTCAAGGGAGTTGGCTTTGTGGTTTCCTCTGCCTACAACTGCCTTTTGAATGATTGCTCCCTTTCTCTGTCATGCCAGCAGACTCCCCCCTCCTGTCCCAGCCTGTGGGTGATGTGTTGCTCCTGAGTGCCTTGGCTGTTTCTCTTGGCTGCAGGAAGTTTGGCACTTGTTGACAGAGAGGGCCAAGTAGGACGGTGCCCAGCAGTGTGCTACTTTCTGCCCACGAGAAGCTGGAGACCACTTCTGTGCACTTGCTCCCTTTAGCCTCATTCCCTTTTGCTGTCTTTGCTGTGTTGACTGCTAGTCCACCTCACACTCACTGTCACATTCCCTTCTGTTGCTTTAGAAAGGGGCAAACTGATGGCAGGTGTGACCTTTTTCTGCTTAGTCTTCCAGTGACAGCTTTTTAGAGTGCACAAGATTGAAAATATTTGCAAACAGTAATCATATGTGAAAATAACTGATACAGATTTTTTTTTCCCAGATTTTGAAATAAAAGGTGAAATATCAAGTAGTGTATTGACCTGTGATCAGATAATTGCTGAGGTTTTAAATTATGCTGGGTGTCTTTGCACTGAAGCAGTTGAGTCACTTTTCTGTGATCTTATACTACCAGCTCTGCTGTGGGCTTGTTCTAGGATGATCTTAGACACAACCATAACCAGTCAAACTCACATGGCCTGTTTGATGGTCCCCTATTTTGTTTGATACATTGCCAAATAAAAACCTCCTTTGTCTTAAACACAGGGTCAGAATTTACTGTTCCAGGAAAGGTTTTTCATAAAACTGAAAAACTAAATTTCCCATCCTCCCAAAAACCCACAACCCCACGGTCATGTTGTTGAGAAGTATACTTAAGTGATGAATGACTGTGTACGGGTATCCTAAACTGTTTTCATCAGCAACAACACTACTTTTGTGCCGATTTACAACTAAAGAAGGCAAAAAAAAATTGCCCCACAGATTCCCTTTAACTCATGCCTATAAAGGGACTATGTAAATGTAGCAGCCTAAAAGGTTTAGCTTACCAAAAGTAAAAAGTTTCCAAGTCTGCCATCTTTTACTTATGAAAGGTTTCCAGTTACTGTAGTATTAAATATGTTCTCCATCACCCTAAACATGGTTTGATGATATGCTAAACCTGACTTAAAAGCTCTCAGCAGGACATCAAAATACTTACAGCCACTTATGAGCTCCTGTCATTTCAAATTGGTTCCAAAAATGGGCTAACCCTGACAGACTTTGTGGTGAGTAAGTTATAATCTGTCTTTGTACCACTGCTGTAAAATGGAGTAAACTTCATTGTCTGCTTTGGCTAAAGTAACAGGGAGAAAATTGTGAGCTCACGGTTCTCTGTCAGATTCTTGCTGGTTAGGTGATCAAATAGGGCACCACTTTTATATTGATGCTCATGGAATAAGTATTTAAATATAAATCCTGTTTGTTACATTTTAAAAACTTTCCTTTTTTTTTGTCTGGTCCAGTGGTGAAAAATTTTCTGCAGGCCTTCATTAGTTTGCACTTCTGTTACTGCAATTTCTTCATTATATTGTCATCAACATATATCTCCTTTTTCTAGGGAGCTTTGTCCAGCTGTATTCATTGGAAAATAGTATTGACACTTTTAAGAGCCATATAGCTCTAATGATGGTCATTATTCTTCTCTATTTCAAGTATCTTTTTATATCTTAGCCATAGAGCTGCTGCACATCTGTTTTATTGCTGTAGTGCTATGAACTTCTGATCTGTTTTATAATTACCATAAATTTTTCATAAAACTAGATAAATACATAACAATTTTATGGAAGGAAATACAAAATGGATATATGGATATAATAGCAGAGTTAATGTTGTATAAAATGTGTTCAGGTTCTTCTAAATTAACTTTTTTTTTTTTTTATCCCCCTGCTTTGACAGAAATTGCCCAAGTTATTGCCTCTTACACAGCAACGGGTCCAGAACAGCTTACTCTTGCTCCTGGTCAGTTGATTCTTATCAGAAAGAAGAATCCAGGTGGCTGGTGGGAAGGAGAGCTCCAAGTTAGTTACTGGGTTTTGTTTTGTTTTTTAAATAAAATTCTATGTTAAAAGAAAATTGTAATTTTTAATAGTTCAAAATGATGAATGCATCAATTATAAATAGTTTTGAAAATGTTTTGCAATTAAGCATTCATAAGTAAAATGCCTTTACAAAAATACACATACATTCCAATTCCTTGAACTTAAAGTAACTTTGGAGGACAACAGGAGGAAGCCATCGTGCCTTGTTGTAGGTCAGGGTTACCCTTGTCACAAATCAAAGCCAGCTACCACTTAGTTTAATGGAGAAGAGTGAAAAAGAATGGTTTCTGGTGCAAGCAGCACATGGGAGAGAGCTTTAATGCCGTATTAAAAGATAATAAAATCTTTTAAGGTGGGGTTTTTTTTGAGTAGAATTTGACAATTTGGAAACGCTGATTCTCAATGACTTTCAGTGGCCAAGCTCTTCCCCCTCTCCTCCAGTACTGAAGTTTTTGAACTCCAGAATGAAGTTTTGGTTGGGTTTGGTTTTTTAACAGGGAATATTACTTGAAAGAATGTAATTTATTTTTGCAATGCTGGTGCTCTAACTCACTCAAATATTTTTTCCATGTTACTACCTGCCTATCACCTACCTGATAATATTTTTTTATCTTTTGTGGAGAAATCCTCTTCCAGGTTTGCTTTGGCTTTCATTTTCATTGGCCTTTGTGTTGTTCTTGACTTGTAGCTTTAAAGAGTCTCATTATGGAATGTATTTTAAGATAGCAAATAAACTTCACTGGGCAAGAGCTGTCACAATTACCACTTAATAGCTAATTTGAGGATTATTTTTTTAATTAATTTTTTGATTGTGTAACTACTCATGTAGCTTTGGATACCGTCCTGTCTTGTATATGGTTTTACAAGTTGGTTTTTTTAATTCATTAGCAATCCCCTACTTATTCTTTTCATTCTCCTGTTCCAACACTGTAATACTAGGTCTTGTCCTTTGTTAGATGAGTACAAGGGCTAATGCAGCAGTTTGGTGACATGGATTGAGGAACGGATTAAAGCTAAAAGCAGGAACCTGCCCCCAAAGCAGTGAAATGATGACAAGATTGGAGAAGGGCACTAATGTTGACTTGTCTTTATGCGTTTAATTTCAAAGTGACAGATTTTTTTAGAAATGTTTGTGCAGTTCAGTTTCAGCTTCACGTAAATTTTGATGATAAAGCAAATGGATTAAGCATTAAATTACCAGGTTTAATGCAGTCTGCCAGAATATCTTAAAATGAATGATCTAGATACACTTTAGAGTTTCAGTAAAGACAAAGAGGAAAGGAAGTAGTTAGTGTATGTTAGATGCCTTTTGTCACTAAAATTAACATCTGTTTTGGTTTTGAAGGCAAAATTCTACATGACCCAAATTCCAGCCTTATTCTAAAAACACAGGAAGAGAATAAATAGTTAAAGTAATTCTTAGCACAGATTTAAAAGCTGAGATTTGATTCAAAGCAAGGATTTTTCTTCTGGTTTTGTTTGCATGAACAACGCACTTGGTGGGATAACAGGATGCAGTTTCTATCGGATTTCTGTCCTGCTTTGGTAACACAAACTCCGTCACCCTGGCTTGGCCCTGCAGTTCCTGTGTCCCACTGTCCTGTCTCTGACAATGACTTGCTGTAGCTGCATTGGGGATGGCAGAGTGCTGCTGTAGGGGGGTGTATGGTGGTAACCTGGGGCTCTCTCAGCACACCACACACACACCCCAACCACACACACACCAGTACATGTGCACCACATTTTCATACTGGTGTTCTCTGATGACCTTAGGCATGAGAACTTCCAGTATACTTTCCAAAACCTTAGCATATGTTCATTAGGAGCATTTAGACAGTGGCTATCCATATGTATTTGAAGTTGCCAAAGCTTAATTTTTTGTTTGATTGGGATCTGGCTTTGGCATTTTGTATCTGAATATGAAGTTTACCCATTTTTTTTTCTTGCCATAATGTTTTGCTGTTCTTCTAGCACTTGGTTAATGTGACATACGTTTATACTATGTCTGCTGTTTAGGCAGGAGAAGCTATTAAAAAGCTTACCTTTTTTCTTCTAAAGAAATAGTATCTAATTTGGATTCTTAATCTCTACTAGGTATCTATTTTCTTAATCGTATCTAGATATCTAATGCAATTCTTTGCATAATGAAAAATCATTTAAATGCTGCCACTCAATGCAATAATTAGCCTGATATTCTAGAGTTATGGTGTAAACAGAATCAGGAGAAATCTTTCTGAAGAATCAGGACTGTAGAATTAATGCTAAAGCACACAAAGCAGGAACACTGTTAAGTGAAAAATCACTCAAATTAGTAGTAACTACTGTTTAGGTACTATAAAGTGCTATTTAGATATTATACAACCTTATTTCTTGTAATACAAGTATCATACTACTACACTATTTCCACAAAAATAGCTGACATTTTCCTTATAACATGCACTGTTCTTATTCTAAAATAGTTTGTGTGATTGCAAGCAGTTAAAATACTGGCTGCATTACGGTGGCAAGTTGGATCTATGGATGTGCTTAATCCTCATAAAAGAATTGTTTTTTCACTAGGCACGAGGGAAGAAACGGCAGATCGGATGGTTCCCTGCTAATTATGTGAAACTTCTGAGCCCTGGTACCAGTAAAACTACACCAACTGAGCTACCTAAATCAACAGCATTACCTTCAGGTAAGCGATGCAGTTGCTTTGACAAAGTTGCTTTTGTAATGAGTGTCATTTACAATAGGACTTGTAAAAATAGTTACAGATATTCAATAGGATATTTAGTATATGCTATCCTAGTCACTTTGGTTACACTCTTCATTTTTTTTATTTTTCTTTTAAATGAGAAAAATGTGTGATTGGTTGGTATATTTATGTGGTGGTTGGGTATGAACTGTAGAGTGCTAAAAAGCCATCGGTGGCATTACATCTTAGAGTAAAGCGTTCCAATTATCAGTCCTGTTTCTTTAGAAGAGTTGTAGTAAAGGAGATTCTAAAGATTGAGGATGCTCAATGAGCTTAACAGTTGAAGCACGTTTCATTCAGAACCTTTTTTTTAAGGTGGAGAGTGAGAAAACAATGAGGATGTAGTTTTTTTGTCCTGTATAGCTGCTTACTTTAAAGTTTATGAAAGGACACAATAACATTAGACCATTATATTTTTTAAACTAGTTGTTTTAGGTCCACCACAGGCAATACCAGACAGTCCTGTCAGTCTACTGTAAGGTATAAAGGCAGGCAGAAGGCTGAGAACAAAAAGTTCATTCCCTGTCACTGTTTCAGCCTTGAACCATTTGGGGCTTGTGAGTTGGTATAGTACTAACTGAACAGGATTCTTGTCAATCAAAAACATGTAGAATGGATGTATTTTCTTCCATAAACCACCCAAAAGACTTGTTGTGGTTATCTATCATCTACTTGGATTTAGTTTAGGGTGGCAGGGGGCAAAAGCTTGCTGCTTCCCCCGGCCAATTTTTGACTATCATTAAAATGAAATAAATGTTTCTAAATGAAAAGTGATGGGATTTTATTTTGTTTTGTTTTACTTATTTCAGTTTGATTTTTCACACATGCTGATAAAACTTTTACAGAATAACTTTTTAGCACTTTTTTCATCGTCTGCAGAACATAAAAATCTTAATTACATTAATTTCTGTCAAATTCAACTTTGTTGCAGACCTTTTGTTTTGGAGGATGGAATAAGAATCTTATCTTTCCATTATGATAGATGACCTCACTAACTGTGTGGTTTATGTAAGAGGTTAATGCTTGAGAAGCATCTTCATAGTGGAATTTTGTTAGTGAGGAGACTTACTGTAGTAAAAAACATGGAAAGCCTAAAGAAAAGTATCTGCAAAGGCTGAAAAATGCCTGAGGTGGTGCATTAGGAAGGGTCCGTGAGTCTGCCATTACTGTCTGAGGTTTGGAGGTAGAGGAGAAGCTATATCCGGGAGCAACTAGTATCATCAAAACCTGTTTCTTTTGTCTTTTTTTTTTTTTTTTTAATGTATATGCTCAACATCTGCCATTCTGTAATGCGAACTGCATGACTTCAACAGCATATTTTTTAAATTCTGTTGCATGGGCACTTTTGCTTCATACTTTGAGGTTTTCTTAATTTCTGACTGCTTTATGTGTGTTCCCTTCCAAGCTTCTGTCACAAACACATCCTTCCTGGTGTTGAGAAATGAAAAGAACTGTTACTGCTGCTTGAAGCTAGTCAGGCTAAGGAAGTTCACAATATAGGAATAGTGGGAAATATGTTTCAACCATTCTGCTTATCTCAAGAAAAGCAACATCATAGATTGTATTGATCATGAGTATTCTATGAGAACCTGCTGTTGCAATAGGACTAGTATTAATCAATAGACAATCTTTCTAAAAAGGAAGCAAATATCTGAAAAGCACTGAAGCTCAGAGAAGTTAGGCTGTAGCTTGCTTCTGTATTTAGCAATGGCTTTTGGAGTTCAAAATAAGTAAAGAACGTTCTTGCTGGGGCTATGGCAAGAGCTTCCTGTATAGGACTAAGGTGTATTCTAAGCTTTGTGACCAAGTGTAAATAAGATCAAGGTGAGGTCACTGCTTCAGGTTCAATTGAGGAGTCCTATGTCTTCAAAAGTTCTCTTAAATTTCATCCCCAAGTATAAGGTGATGCTTGAGATCTCGCTGGACTATTTAGATATTCTGGTGATACTGTTAGGCAGCACCAGATTTCATACAGTTCTTTGAAGTAGAAGAGAATGATCTGAATGAAAAATTCTTGAAAGAAATTAACTTTAGAATGGGTTACAAATGTGTTAATTTACATATTGTATTCAGGGATGGCCTAGCTTAATTTTTTTATTGTTCTTAATGTCAATAATAACCTGTAAGCCTGTAACAAGAATGCTATAAAAGAGATTCACAGATCTTAAAAGTGAGAGGTGAAGATCTTAAAAGTGAGAGCTCACAAATTTGAACCTGTGTTAGCACAAAACTGCCTAAAACAAGGTACACCATAATATACATTCTCTAGAAATGCTGGTTTATCTCCAGTATGCCAGTGAAATGTATCAATGTTAGTTGATGTGCTGGATGTTACACAGGACAGTGAGTGCCCCTTTTTAATTTTTTTCCTTTTTTTTCCTTGTTTAGCAAGTAACAAAGATAAATATTGAAACGTATGCAGAGTCCTGCTACAGTTTTATTATGGTCTTTGTTAACAGACACAAAGTATTAATTAAAAAAGAAAGGTTGGATAATTTCTGAAATAGAAATTGAAGAAAGAGGAGCTACTTGACAAGTAAGTTGCTGGCTGAGCACAAGAATGAAAGTTTCAGGATTCGCATAATAGAGGGAACCTGACAGCAAGGCTGATTAGAAGTCTTATGTCTCAAGGTGACATACCAGAAGCTCTGTGACTTGGCATAAAGAAAATATCAGAGAAGCAGAAGAAATTATATATGTAAATAGTCCTGCTTTACAGTATTAAGAAAACTGCTGTATATAATTGAACTGAAACAGCTGTCTTCTGAGAACCAGGCAGCTTTAATGAGTTTCATACTAAGGAAACAGAAAATAGGCTGCTGGGAGCAGTCCTGTGGTGCCAGAAGGTCAGCTAAAATGGGCTTATGATGCTTTTTCTTTTTCTCATCCTTTCCAAGATCTTTGTCTTCCTAACAGCTCAGTGTTACTGTAAGGATATCACCATTGGCTTTCTCTGTAATTGTAGAGCTGTGTTGAGCATGTCAGGTGCTGAATTAGAAAAGAATGCCTTTTTCAGACTGCAGGTAGTGGAATTTAAAATGTTTCCCAGACTTTTCTGTCTGTTGACCAGTTCTGATGGAAAGGATACTTCTCAGAACAGGTTGGTGAGGTTACAAAATGAAATTTTTATAAATGTACAACAAATTTTGTGCTTTGGAGGGGGAGGAAACTTATAAAGGAAAAGAGAAATGTCAACAGAAAGCTACCATCCCTGAAGTGTTCGGCTTTTTTGCTGAAACCTTAATTTTTTCCCATCTCCTCCTGCTGTTGAGCAGTCCCAAACAAAAGTATCTTGGCTACAGTGCCAAGATTACACTGTTCTCACTTTGCACCGTGGCACTCTGCCTTCCCTAGTGTGATCCTGGCCCCTCAGAAAGCTGACTGAGGGAGCAATGCCGCTGGGAAAGTCCTCTGGGGCTTTTTTTCAGTAACCTGGAGCTAATTTGTTGAGGGCTAAGCACCGTTGCAGGGGCTCAGGAGGGGCAGGATTCAGATGAGCGTAGAGCCATGGAGCCACCCTGTGACATCTGCAGGGCGTGCAGCTGGTGTGTGCATAGCTCGTGTTCTGCCGAAACGTTGCCAGTGCCATAGACCTCTTCTTTTGTCTTACAGTGTGCCAAGTGATTGGCATGTATGACTACACTGCACAGAATGACGATGAGCTAGCGTTCAATAAAGGCCAGATTATAAACGTCCTTAACAAGGAAGACCCAGACTGGTGGAAAGGGGAGGTGAATGGACAAGTGGGTCTCTTTCCATCCAACTATGTTAAGCTGACAACAGACATGGACCCAAGCCAGCAATGTAAGTGACCCTCACTGCTGCCATGCTGTGATTACTTGTGTAGTACTTTAAGATGAAACATGCAGCATTGCTGTGATTCTGCTGTGGTTTGCAGAACTCAAAAGTTTCACCACTGCTGCACTTGTCAAAGTCTCTTTGAAGACCTTCTGTAATGCAAACCTTATTTTGTGTTTCTTTTATTTTTAGTTCCCATCCCCTTTGTAGCATGTGACCCTTTATCATTTTTGCACCATGCTGTTTACATGCCTGACTCATTTTCCTAGCTTGAATTTGCTCATTGTTTTGTTTTGCTTATGTGTTGTTTTCCTCCTTTTTCTAGGAATCATATGTTGTCCATCCCCCACTCAGGCTTGAAAGTCCTCAAAGAGACCCACTATCCCATATCACTGCCCAGAGGGATGATGGGAGATGCAGCCTTGATCATGTGGCTTCCAGCATGATCATCTACTGCCTTCTGAGTAGAAGAACACACTGCAGAGCAGTTTACCTCATTTTACATTAGTTGCATGTAATCGCAATGTTTGAGTTAATTACCTACAGATATAGACACAAAATTAAAATGAAACAAAAAAAAACACAAAAAAAATCAGAGGATAGTGGGTCCTTTTGTGGCTTTCAGAGTTACCAAACTAATTTTTCCACCTTTGCACAGGTGCTTTTAGTAGTTTTAAAATTATTTCAAAATTTATATATTTTAGCCTTTTAAAGGAAACGTATAAAATTTCTTCATTGCAATTTTGTTTGTGCAAAAAGACCCACTATCAAGGAATGCTGCATGTGCTATTAAAATTGTTCCAAATGTCCATAAATTTGAGACTTTTATGTATCTTTCTTTTTTATTGTTCACTTGTCCAGTGTTGTCAATATGTCCTTTTTTTTTCTTTTTTTTTTTTATTACAAAAGAACGGAAGGAGTTAAATCAGTTTAAGGAACTTTAAATGTGCCCAGTTATAGATAGGTATTTTGTTGTAGTTCTTGTACTGTATGTATCAGGTGTTCTCTGTTGAGTGTGTAATACATTGTGGAGAGAAGAAATTAACTTCCTTCCAGTGCAAGAGATATTAACCTTGCATAATGTTGTTATCCCAGTTATGTTATTTTGCACATTACTTGTAGCTGCATACAGTTAGAAAACACTCTGGTTTATGTTTGTCTCAGATGTTTCGTTCTTTGCATTTTCGTATCAGATATCAATAGAATGCTACATTCATGTGGGATTTGAGAATTAACTTCTTTATTTTCATCCTGGTTATGTGAAGTTTGATTTCTTGTTATTACCTTCTTATGGCTATGGAACAACACATTTTGAACAAGTCATTTTCCTGACAAGAAAGAATGTATAGACATATCTCCCTGCAATTAATTTCCAATGTTTACATTTTTTTAAACTAGACTGTGGAATTTATACAAATTAATATTAAATGGAGCTTACAGTCAGATTTATGTAGTAGATGTGCTGTAGCTAAGCCATGTTTGTCTTTCCAGCATTAGTTACATGCTCTTGATGAAATGCCTGGTGCTGTCAGTGCAGACACCCTCTCTTCCTAATGCCTCAAGCACAATATAACCGTTCTACTAATTACTTTACCATTTACTTATGTTCTGATTTATGTATTCCATTTGTTTCTAAATTTCATGCTGGCAGTGTTCTAGCATTTCTAATCCTACCCCATCTCCCTCCTTCTGACCCATCATGCGGTGCAAAGAACAAGTGAAGCTCCTAATTCAATTGCACTTCAGTATTTCATCAATATGAATGTAAATTATATAAATATATAAAAACTTGCAGCTTTAACAACTGTAATACAGCCTTTAAAATTAGTTACATGTATAGATAATTAAATTCTTCATATAAAAGATAGACTAAGATGTCTTTGTTGTCTTGTTGCTCTGTGCACATGGAATTCACCAAGTGGCATTAGTGCATGTAATGAATTTGCCACCAGAATAGCCTGAAGCCGACCTGTTGAATTTCAGAATGACACTTGTCTTGTTTCTTTGAATATTATATCAGTATAATTGCTCAGACCGACCATAATTATCTGCCACCTTTAGCACCTTTCTTTCTCAGTTCTAGTGGTTACAATGCTACATGTTACAAATCAGTTGGTATTTTTTGATGCTATACTGGTAGATGAATTAAGTATTCTTTGTTGTTTTACCATGGGTTTACATTGACTTGGGCTCTGTGTTTCATGCCAGAAGCTCCAGTCTCAAAACATGCACAATTGCACAGATTTTCTTTCTTTTTAGGGTAGTATTTAACATGCAAAAATTTTTCCTTCACCTCTCTGCCATTAAAAAAAAAAAAATCTTCTCTGTCATAGACACTTGCTGAAAAATATGCTGCCTGGTACAACAGAAATTGAACAGAACATAACACTTGTAATTTTCAGTGCCCATTGTTTTGCTTGCTGAGGATGATGTAGCCAGATATTACTCCACTATCTCAATATTTTGTGCATTAAAATGTTATTTTAATGAAAGGATATCTCTATTTTTCCCATTATGAACTGTTGTCTTGAAAGATTTATAACTTGACTAAAAACATCTGTCTTAAGGAACATTTTGGGGTTTATGGCTTCAGACCAGAAACATACTTTCTCTATATATTGAAATATTGGTAATACTTTGGATATAGGAGATTAAGATGCCGCCTTTTTTTTTTTTTTTTTTTTTTCCCATTACTTCAAGTGAGAAGAAAAATAAAGCTGTTACAATCAATTGCAGGCTACATGTTTTCTAACATGCTTCTTAAAAATGCTGAGAGTGATGCCTCGTGAAGAATTTCCAAAATCACAGTGCCCTAAAAGTTCCTGGGGTCAGTTTTCCACTGAAGTGAAGGCAACAGCCTGAAGTAGTCCCTTAGTAGACACACAGAAGGCACACTGGTGTATGTTGTGCCAGGGCTCCCCAGACAGAATAGTACTATGTACCACTCAACAGAACAACAGCTTCATCAGTCAGTCTCTTGTTCAGAGTAGTTAACTCACAAAACCTTCAAAACATGTTGGAAATGTCCTAGACGAAGATACTCAAACCATTGTGGCTTATATCGACATACATTGTTGAAGTACCTATAGTGTTTATTTACTCAATTATTAAAGATCTTAAGTGTACTACTGTAACTTGGCATGGTAGTGTTTAATCTTCCTCATAATCAGTGATTTCCCTTGAGTAGCCAGGAACAAGATTTTTTGTTTAGAGATGTATATATTTATAAGAAAGGGAGTGTGAAAGCAATTATTTAATAAAGAAAATGGATTATTTCCATCAAAAAGAATAGTTTGCAGGGTTGTGTCTCAATCCGGTTTTGACCCTCTCTCCCCCTTCCTGGTTCATATGAAAAGTTCTTTTACCTCCTAAGGCACACGGTCTCATCCCAAAGCCTCAGATCCAGACTGCAGCAAGCAAACCTCCTCCAAAAGAGCGCTGGCCTCCTGTGATGGCAACGTGCCCGCACTCGTGTTGTGGTTGCAAAGCCAACACGAATCCCAGTCAAGGCTGAAACGAGACTTAGACACACAAAAATAAGAAACCATTCAGATGATTTTAAATTTTATTTGTATCTTAAGGTAACATTAAGAAGAGCAGTCTCACTGCTGCCTAGTCAGTTGGATGCATTCTTTATATTAGCTTTCATGTGCCAAGTACCTTTTCCCTCCGTACAGGAGCTGTCAGTTGAGGGATGTAGAGGAGACTGGATTTAAAGACCATTCCAAGTAGGGACAGGGTTTTTGTTCACAGTTTTTCTGTTTACCTTGAGAAGAATTTCCTCTCTATTCAACTGATGAGGAAGAATTCCATTGAATGTTCTTTCAGGCAATTTGTTAATATCAACTCCAGTACTTTAAATCTGCCCAAGACAGCTCAGAGTCTGAAATACAGATTTATTAACAAGACCTTGTTTTATATTCAGAATTAGTTTTAATTTAAACCTCAATTCTTTTGGAGCTTCAGTGGCACCTGTTTCAGACCCTGTGAGCTGACTGAACACATTTTAAAATGACCTGCTACCGTTGTTATCTTCCTGCAAGGCAGCAAAATAACTGCATGTTCTGGTTTTATTCTCTGTTTTTTTGAGCAGTTCTTTTTAGTTCTTTGTGATTATTGACTCCAGCTATTGAACTTCATGTTAAATAGCTCCCTATAGGCAGTCCTCTTATAATTACAATAAATGGCTTATTTTAAACTTATTTTTAGACAGCTTCAGGAAATCAAGGGACAGCATATCTCAAATATTATTTAATCAGTTAAATTGCAACCTAAGTGCATGCACACAGAAAACTGGATTAAGCTGTTACTTAGCTAAATAGAGAGCACTTAGGGAACCTTTTGATTCTTAGCCCTGAAAGAACGTTTTCAGAAGATTGTCCTGGATGCAGTTAAAATGTAAATTATTTTCACAAAGATTTCATTTCCCACATGTAGACTTTACAGGCTTTTGTACTTGTTTGATAGCTTGCAGAGGAGTACTTTACCATGAATAAAAGGATTCATTTTGAATTATTGTCAATGTGAGGAGACATTGTGAGAGTTATCTTGACAATCTGGCGTAATCTAGTAACTTTACTAGTATGTGTAAATGTAATTCTGACAGATGCGACAGGTATCTATAGCTTGTTGCAGCGAGTTTTATAGCTGTTTCATTCCCCTCCCTGTTCTGCACATCTGAATTTGGAACCTTCTTTAAAAAAAAAAACAAAAACAATAAAACCCAAAAAGTAGCTCTGTAGTGCCCCTTCTCAGCATAAAAATCCACCTTGCAATGTCTGTGGAGAGCTGGAAACTAATTTGAATCAAACCTGTAACTTTTCTGTAACTTCTGTTAATCATGTGGAGCAACATAGAATAAGAAGTCAGATTTTAGGACAAGTTCAGTCTTGTGGAATAGTTTCAATTAAGCATTTCGTGGGAAAGGTACCTGCTAGTATCTAAAGGTAGAAAGATGTTTATTCCTGAGGTAGCTGTCCTAGAGCAAGTGGGCGTAGAGCTTTTAG